AAAATAGATATAAAGCTACTAAAATATGAGCAAAGGCTCTTTCGATTCGGAAGAGATACTCCGGATTTTTGTTAATAACATTTAAACTATGAATATTGAAGAAGTGGGACATAACTTTTTTCAAATAGGAAGAAATTCCTCATAAAAAAGTCCTGACTCCCGGAAATGTACTTCCACTATTAATAATTTTAATTTAACGCTAAAAAAGGGCTCTGCGCGAATTGAGGTTCATTTCCGGGAGTCGGGATTTTTTCATGGCGGATTTCCTCCTATTTATGAATCACTGTTTTATTACTCAAATATTTATAGTTTAAATATTAATAACAAAAAACCGAAATACCTCATTTTTCCTCGATTGCTTTCTTTATAGCAATCGTAAATTTTTACCCGCTGTAGAATCTTTCGAATACATTTTTTTAGGGGTCATTCTACGTTATGAGTTATGGGCGGCTCATATAGATACGCGCCTACAAGTCGAACCACCATTGCATGTGGCGTTATTTCAAACCGTGTTCAGTTACGTTACAAAATTATTGATAAAGGCAAACTCAAAGTTCTTCTTGAATCGAACCGTGTCATTTCGCAATCAGCCAAACATGTATGACGTCACTTTACAGGTTATTGGCCCATATGGATACGCGTTACGGGTACGTTACGGGTTATTGACTCAAATGGGTACGCGTCTTCAAGTCGAGCCACCATTTCATGTGGCGTTATTTCTAACCGTGTTCAGTTACGTTACAGAATGATTGATAAAGCTGAAACTCAAAATTCTTCTGGAAGCAAACCGTGTCATTTCGCAACCAGCCAAACATGTACATTATATTCACGTTATAAATTATAATAGATCATTTCAATTATGCTGGAGGTACTGATATTAGGTAATAATTAGATGAATACAGAAAGTGAGACTTAACGAAACTTAACGAAATTTGCATTGAAATAAATTTCCACTGTTGTAGCAATGACAAATTATTATATCAATTTCACGATAGAGGTTTTTCTAATACATTTATGTGAGATATTTCAAATTCATGGATGGATCTAAGTTCCTCTATTTTTTAGGTGAACTAATACGAGATTGTGCCACTTCCAAGTTCTGCGAGTCTCTAAAACCTACACCTGGAATTGTATTGTGTTTGCAATGCAGCAAGAAGAGTTTATGTAATAACGATACAATACCTTACTAAAAAATATATTTTGTTTCTATTGGGTAAACCCGTGTTTTATTTTTGGAATTGAGTCACTGAAGGCAATAAAAAATACATAAATATAGTGATTAGTGTTTTCACAAAAGTATATTTCTTAATGGAAGAATTATCGACCCGTTTTCCGAATTCATTTTGATACCTTTTTCAATCATTCTGGAATATTGTTAATTCATGTTTGATAACTTCATTTATGTTCTCTTCAACCATCTCCCACAATCGCAAACATTTTGATACTAACAGTATGGAAACGCTTGAGAAAGCTATTGTATAGCGAAACACGTGTTCCGGTTTTGTGAAATGCCCATTGAAAATCCCACAATAAAGGGTGATTTGAAAACGTTAAGAATTTTTATCAAGTATCGCATCAAGTATCGAACAATTCCATCAGATAAAAAGTTCGTAGGCTAACATAGCTGGCTTCAAAGGCTATGCAGCAATTATAGCGGTCATATAATTTATCAGCACCATTTTAATAATACGATTTGTCTTCAGCCTCAAAATAAGTCTCAGTTTTGAAAAATACCTCGTCATCATCGCTAAATTTCTTCCAGTGAGCATTCTCTTGAGATCTGGGAAAAGTCGCTGGAGCCAGATCTGGAAAATACGCTGGATGCGGAAGCAATCAGAAGCTCAATTCATGCAATTTCGCCGTCGTTCTTATTGATTTATGAGGCGGTACATTGTCTTGATGAAACAGCACTTTCTTATTTTTTCAAATAGAACCGTTTTTCCGCGACTTCGTCCTTCAAACGCTCCAAAAGCACTATGTAATAGTCGCTGTTGATGGTTTTTCAAGATGGTCGATGAATACATACCGTGCGTATCCCAAAATACTCTTCGTTGTTTTCAATTTCATGTGATAACTTAATATTCGGCGATCTGTTGTTAAGGGTTGCAACAAAGTCCACAACCTCAGATGTTTTTGTCGAAAATCAGATCCAAATCTGTAATGGAAAGTATTCTGTTACCTTCGTTTTCAATATAATTCTGCTCATAAACAGATTGCTATGAAGGGGGACCGCGGATTTCCCATTTTCATGCTTTCGTGCTGTCTGTAGAAACAGATGTTGAATTGGAAGCAGATTTCTGTTAGTTTTCTTAGTCTCATTGCATTCACCGCTTTCAAAAGGGAGCTGTTGAAATCTCATGATATTCTACTCATAAGTTTATGAGTTATTGTGCTAAGATGGGAAAAAATACCGTTCAAGCAATGACTTTAAAAGTGTTATAAGGACTCTGCTTCGTCAGAAACAATAATTAAACGTTGGACGTCCAAATGAGACAGTAACATTAAACAACATAAAAAATCCACAAAATCGCTTGGAAGGATCAAAAAGTAGAGTTGCGTAAGTAAGCTGACTTTGTAAGAATATCAAAAGTACGTGTTGGCTTTATATTGCATGAGCATTTGACTTTGAGAAAGCTCTGTTCAAAGTATGTGCCACGCAGCTCCCGTTTCACCAAAAACAAGAACGTCTTGATGATTATGAACAGTGTTTAGTCATGTTTATACATAATGAACCGGACAACACACCGTGTCACAAGTCAATCGAAACAATGACAAAATCACATGAATTGAACTTCGAATTGCTCCCACATCCAATGTATTTGCCAGATTTGGCTCCCAGCCACTACTGGCTATTCGCAGACCTCAAAAAAATGCTCACTGGCGAGCATTTTTTTGAGGTCTGAAACTGAGGCTAAATCGTTCTTCAAAAGTGGTATTGAAATGTTGGAGCAGCGCTGAAATGATTGTGTGGCTCTCGATGGAGATTATGTTAATGAATAGTCAACGGAGTCAAGTATCACAGTTTACAAGTCAATTGTTCAGCCACACTTCGACTATTGTTCCTCTATCCTATATCTATTCAATCAGAATACATTGTCTCAACTCCAAAAACTTCAGAATCGTGGTATGAGAATCATTTTGAAGTGCCGTAGAGATACTCCTATCACTATTATGCTCAATGTTTTAAATTGGCAATCCATTTCCCAAAGACTGCTATACTTCACAATGATCTTCGTATACAAAATATTGAACAATTTAGGACCATCTTATTTTAATCAGTATATTGTATTTCATCACGATATTCACCACCACTTCACTCGAAATAATAATAACTTATATATTAACAGAACAAAAAACAAAAATACTATGAACTCATTGTTTTTCAAGGGTTTTGATCGGTTCAACAAATTACCTAATGCAATTAAAAATAGCCCATCTCTGCCCTTGTTCAAAAATGAACTGAAGAAATTTGTTTTAAATGTACAAATATGATATGTATTATGTCTTTGTTACCTGTAGCTGTAATTTGTATAATTCCATTCATCTAATGTTCGTTATATATTTCAAATAATTATGTAATTTATCTTTCTACATGTTGCATTGAAATTTTTCGAATGTATAATGTTGCTGTTTTTGTAGTAATGTCTTCAAAAATATTTTATTGAACTTATGTTTGTCATACATTTAAGTCATTTCTATATGTAACACATACCTTTTTTTTATTTCTACCATTCTAGTTGATTTGTATATTATTAGGATATCCTATTTAAATAAAGATCTATCTATCTATCTATCTAAATTTAAAAAAAAAACGCATTTTCTTTCCTAGGCTCGGGAGTTTCCAGCCCATGGTGTTACTTCTTCACTGAGACAATTAACCCCCCAGAAGATCCCTTAAATATTCAAGTTTTCGGTATAGGGACACTTGGAACATCAAATGATAATAACATATCCATATCTCCCAACTTCATATCACATGAATTCATGTGAAATAACAATGTTTAAACTCAATTGTAAGATTGAGTGAGTTTTCAAACTATTTTCTATACCATTCAGCATTTTTATAAGTAGGGAAACTTATAGACTCACCAGGCTTGTAAATGATTAGTAAATTATATAATTTTGGAATTGCAGGATTACAAACATGTAGACTCCTGTTGAAAACCGGTGAGATCAAATTTTGACACTTCTCCTACGTAGTGGATTCCTGGATAATTCATTATAGGAATATTTCTCAACCAAATTATCAATTCTACTTAGTAATCTGACAGGAAGACTCTCTGGAAATACTGTTTTCAGCGCTGATTACAATATCATTGACTTCAAAGGCTTTGCCATTATCTCGCCATTCAGTTTTTTTAGTAAGTGTTGGTAAATATTCTTCATACCATCTTTTCCAAAATACATCATTCAACGTCTGTGCTTCTCTTCATCAAAAATATAAAGCAGCTTTCAGATCCATCTTGATATATATCTTTTCAAATTCATCTTACTAGCCCCCTTCAGAAACCTCTGTGCATGAGATCAAGAAAGATTCATGTATCACAAGGTTTCAGTGATATTTCACTGTCAGTTAGCATGGCGCTTCCGAGGAAAAAGCTACAACTTATAGATACCTCTCTGAACGTGTTCAAAATTTCCGATCAAGGAAATGAATTCCATTCTAATTATATGTGAAAACGAGAACTTTAAGTATGAGTTCCAGAAACAAAGATAGTCGGTGTACACCAAATGTTTCAAGGTGAACCACGTGTATGACAAAAACTTTGGGAGAATATGATCTGTGGACAAAGGATTTACTTCAATCAGAAAAAAGTATATTGAATAGGTACTTCAAAGAGGATTTGTAAATACTCAATGCATTATCAAGACTTCAGAACCAGAGTAAAAAAATATCAGATTGTGAAATATTACCACTTGTATGCTCATGATAACAATTACACAATTTGCACAAACATTTTTATTTCTAGTCACGTTTCGTTAAATGAGAAGCTACGGTTTATCATTCATTTCTACTAAGGAAGCTAGGGTGTTAGCGAAACAACACCGTAATCATGCCTCAGCCACCGTATTCACCAGATTTGCCCCCCTGTGATTTTTTACTATTCCCAAGATTGAAGAGACGTTTTGAGTTTTGCGATGATGGAGAAGATGAAAACTGAATCGCTGAGAGAGCTCAACGATGTACCGAAAAAGTGCTTCGAGGGTTGGAAGAAAAAACGTTGGTACAAGTATATTATATTCAAGTTGGACTACTTTGAAGGGAAAAAGATAGAAATTGATGAACAAATGAATAATTTTGGATAAAAAATATTGCTTTAATTGAATTCTTCACTTTTTAACGTCTTTGATTTTTAATCACAAAGTAAAAAATCAAAATCTTTGATTGGAGAAACGCTCCAAGAAAAGCTCCACGAGATATTTGCAAAAAACCAACCCCCCCTTTTTTTACTAAATTGTTCATAAGTTTTGGAATTTTTTCGAGCCCCTCTTGAAATTTTTCAAAATGTTGCTAGAGGCCATTCTCAATCGAATGAGTCGTGGATCATAAGAACCCGCAAATAATCTTTCAGCAGGTAAAAAATGTTCCTCAATGAGTTGATGGATGAAGTCGTTACTACGTGGTAGAAAATCATCATAAAAAATGAGAAACGAAACTTTTTACGTTTTTATACCACTTTGTATTTGTAACTTACGTTACTGCAGTTTCATCGTACAAGGACATTTTCAGACGATTACGACAAACTGAAATGATTAACAATGTATACCGTTATACAGTGTGTCTCACTTCTCATGGAAACACCCCCGTATCTTCCCTAATATTCGAGGTAGAACGATGAAACTCTCAGGACTGATGGAATGGGGTTAGCCAAAGTGATATACACTGTCCGAAACTCGCGATGGATCACCCCATTTTTACGGTGAAACATATAAGGGGGCGAAATAGGCTCAAAATTCCTTCAGATTCGTGATCAGGACTACCAAATTACTACGATTACACTTTTTTCCTGAAAAAAATTCAGTCCTGAAAAATACGAATTCGTCTCACTTCTCATGGAAACACCCCCGGATCTTCCGTAATATTCGAGGTGGAACGATGAAACTCTCAGGACTGATGGAAATGCTCGAAATGCACCTACCACCTGAATGGGGTTGGCCAAAGTGATATATACTGTCCGCCACTCGCGATGGAACACCCCATTTTTACGGTAAAACAT